CAAAAGAAGGATAAACGACAGTCCGTAGAGGCCTGTCGGTGTACGTCTGTCCCCCTACGATGTTCAAGCGTCTGCCAGTGCGATCGGCCGCGGTTGTCCACCATGCCGTCTTGAACTGCATGCCGATTTTAACTGAGGGGCCGTAATCTAGTGATCGGAGGGCATTCAATTGCATTGGGGACAGGTCAGCTCCTGTGAGATCGATGGTTTGAAGGACAGGTAAAGGAATGGTCGAAATGACGTGCGAGAAGGTGTGATGGTCAGTGCCATTTGTAACAACTTCTATCCCTGTGAGTTGGCGATTAATAGCTGTTACTCGGTGGTTGAATTTGATAGCCTTCGGGTTACGGGAGCGAACATATTTGGCCATACTATTCGCGATCTCAAAAGCCCCTCCACTGTTAATTTCGAAGGACACGCATTAGTAAAATATCCGAGCTCAAAAAAAAATGGGCCCACTCGATGCAAAACCATTTTGTTGGAGGTAAGAGAGGTCCAGGTCTCTGCCAACTGAAAGCGATGGCCTCTAGTACGGTCTCGGAAAGGGCGCGATCATACCAGCCCGTAGATTTGTCGAAAGTTTCTAACCAATTCACAACATCCGTTGGAAGAGACTGGTCGGGCAGAAGGAGGCTCGGACTCGGCTTATATTTGAGCGACATATAAGCACGAGTCGAATACTTGTCAAAGCTCTTCATATATTCCCATCCACTAGTCCCTCCGTTGTCTAAGTCGTCCAACAGGCGCGACGCAAACGGAGTTATAACGTCGTCCACGATGGCACTGGTACCGGCTTTGATGTACGGGGCTGGATCAGTATCCCTAATAACCTGATCAGCCTTGAAAGGTTCCTCCGAAGGCATCTCGCCCCTCCTCACGGTGACGCCGTTGTAAGAGTAAAAGGTGTTGTGGTTCTCGAAAAAATACGGCTTGAGCTTAGACCCTAAAGCTATATTACCTCTATTAAGAGGCGGGTAATCGAAGAGTCGAAAGACACGAGCCATCGATGCAATTTGGGGAAATCGCATCGCACCAACATCGAAATAGTTATAAGGGGCTCCAGTTGTATTCGCAAATTTGTGCGTGAAGAGCCTTCCTCCGACCTGTCTTTGAGCTTCGATGATGCGATATGGAATACCGAGATCTTCGAGAATCAGAGCAGTATATAATCCGCCCGCACCTGTTTGAATCAATTAAGCTTAGATTGATGAGAGTACAATGAGAAAGACGATTCTCACCTGCACCGAGGATACCAACGGGCGCGATACTCAGAGACGCAAACTCTTCAAGTACGGGCGAAATGGGAATGGTCGGAATAGGAAGAGTAGGAATACCAGGTATACCTGAGACTGGCTCTAATGTTTTGTGGAAGTCTCGAATTAACTGACGGCCATGAAGAGCATAGGCGTCGAGCAAGAACGATTCGTCTGTGAATTGAAGAAGGGAGGCGGTTTCAGGGTCTGCCATTGAAGAGATGGGTTGAAGATTCCGTCAGAAAATTTGTACTATCTTAAAGATTACAAGTTTATGATCCGTGTATTGACGCTTGTCCTCAGCCTATAAAAATCACCACATATACAGGTCCCAGATTCAGCTGACTATTGGATGACATGAAGGCGGTTATCGCCATCGATATGCTTGCAATGAATGGCCCTATCCGAGTTTGAGGGTACAAAAGAGTGCCAGACGCCCACTGGCTAAAAATGTCGACTCTGCAGGAGAAGTTTTCGACGCTTCTGAGATTCCTGTCATGTCCATATGACCATATACAAGATCTGTCAGATGGCCGCAATGAGAAGAGCATTAAACGCTCTCGTGGACCTCCGCACAACTGCGTTTTGGTTGAAGATTTTGACACGATTAGAGCCCAGGCTGAGCTGTCTGGAAGTTTGATGGTGCGATGATCCAGAACTCTCGGGAGGTTTGTCGAGTCTCTTGTATTCCCATACCTACGCATACATGCTGGAACGCACCAGAGAAAGTAATATGAAAAAAATAGAAAGAAGCATCACATGCGTTTGCTTAAAAACTGCGAGTTCAAGTTGGACTCACGCGTGACTCCACCCGGTCCAAATGGTGACTCCACAGCGCCTAAATTAACAGAGACCGCCGACCCCACTTTTCCAATTCACCTTTCAAAATGTGAAGGAACACGAATCTCGAGTGTGACTGAAATTTCCAATCGGGCTCCAGGTTTAATCTGATCATGAGTCAACTCGGTGCTAATTAGTATATCGACGAACCAGAATATCGAGCTTCTTATCTCGGTGTCGTCGTATCCTTCAGAAAGAAAACCGTGTTTGTGGATCGGGGCTGAAAAAGTAATCTCAAAAAATATATTGGCCAACGTGGGGATCGAACCCAAGACCTTCGCGTTATTAGCACGACGCTCTAACCAGCTGAGCTAGTCGGCCGATA